AATTAACCAGAGTGTTAAAGATTGCTGCTTGACAGTCTAAAGTTGAGCTATTTATGTAGAAAAGAACATTTAGTAAGCGGGCGTTTACAAGTTTTTTTTTTTTGGTTTGGGAAATTTGACCATGAGATTGATCACTAGTACACTTAAATAACAATAATTGTAAGTGAATGTAGAAAACATACAAGATGGTAGTTTGATTTTTTGTTTTTTTCCCTTATAAATTCATGAATCTGTGTTTAGCATTTGTGTTGGGGGAACAATGTACAGTTTCAGGGTATTGCTTGAAAATTAATCAGAATATGATGGATCCACTCAAACATAACTATAAATTGGTGATCTCGGTAGCTGAATTTTTATTCACTTGTAGAGGGTTTAGGTTTACATGTTAATCATCAAGCAAACTTGGGTGCTCAATAAAATTCATGGTAGGTTCCTGAAGTATACAAAGTTTATCGTAATTTTCTAAAAAATAGTGAAAATTCATGGTATAACCTTGAGATTAACCCTTGTATACACATTAACCTGGTTACAGGTTTAATACTAATTTCTTATTTATTCAAATTAAAGTTGATTTTTCAGTCATTGTGCTTTCTTAGATAAAAAGAAAATCAGTGTATCATATTAGTTTGTTTTGAGGCTGTACCAGCTAGCCATTACAAATACTTTACGTGTTGTTTACTGTTTTCTTGAATATATCTTTAGCATAATTCATATATAAAGATGTCACTTGGAATATTTTTCTTAAGTTTATGCTTTGCTGGAACTGAGTTTCCATGTTCTTCTTTCAGGCTTATGATCAGCACTTGAATAGGATACTTGGAGATGTAGAAGAAATTATCACTACAGTAGAGATTGATGACGAAACATATGAAGAGATAGTGGATACTTGGAGATGTAGAAGAAATTATCACTACAGTAGAGATTGATGACGAAACATATGAAGAGATAGTTCGGGTAAGCAACCTTTACTTGCATATTCTCTACAGTAGAGATTGATGACGAAACATATGAAGAGATAGTTCGGGTAAGCAACCTTTACTTGCATATTCTATTTTATATATGTTTGATGTGAAACTTTCTGAAGCTTCCATGATTATTGATTAGCATTGTGTCTTTTACCCCTTTCATTAACAAATTTTGTTAAATGAATTATCCTTTCTTTTTTCTGTTAGGGGGTGTTAGTCAATTGGGACATTTTTACTTTTTTAAATTAAATGAATTAAATATATAATTCTTACTTAGTTATGAATATGCCATGTGACTAAATGATATCACACACACCGATAAACACTGTTACATACAAACCCTAACTCTAACCATAATATAAAGCCCAAAATATATACGTATAATGTTTTTATATGATTGTGGTGTTGATGGTGCGTGCGTGCGTAGTGATGGTGGTATTGGTTGGTGAATTGGTTAGTTGGTTGTGGTTGTGGTTGTGTTGTTGTGGTGCGTGCGTGCGTAGGGTTGGTTATGTGATCGGTTGGTGGGTGGTTTGGTCGTGGTGGGGGAGGGATTGGGTGGTGGTGGTGGTGATGTAGGGGGAGGGGGTGGTTGGTGTGGAGTGTGGTGGGTTGGTGGGTGGGGGCTTTGGTCGTGGTTGAGGAGGGGGAGGAGTGCGGATTTAGTGCATGTACGAGTGCGTACATGCATATACGCGTGCATGCGTGTACATAAGAATATGTGCGTGCGTATAATACATAAGAATATGCCATGATACTCTCTTCGAAACATATAATACATAAGAATATGTTATGATACTCTCTTATTGTTATACTTGCATGCCATGCCATGTTGTTAACGTTTGATTTATATTTGCAGGCCTGGACTTCTAAACAAGGTGGAACTGATGATGAGGATGATGATGATGATGATGATTAGGAGGACTGATTTTTTTTTACCTTTGGAAATAATGAGTGTGTGATGTATAAACAATATTTTTCATGGTGTGTGTTGTATAAACAATTTTAATTATGTTGGAATATTTTTATTAAAATATATGTGTTATATATGCGTGAGAATAAATATTATACTGCTGATTGAACATGATTTTAAATTTCTTATATTATTGTACAGGTTTTTTCAATTTTTAAAATAATTTTTAAAAAAATATTGGAAATATTTAGCCACGGATTTTCCGTCGCTATAGACCTTTTAGCGACGGAATTTCCGTCGCTAATATAACTTTTAGCGACGAAAAATTCATCTTTTTTTATTTTTTATTTTTTTAAAAATAGTTATAGCGACGTAAAATCCGTAGCTAATGTTTTTTTTCTTTTTTTAAAAAAAATAGTACGACGGCTTATCCGTCGTTAATTTTCCGTAGCTGAAATTTAGCGACGGAAAATCCGTCGCTAAAAACGATTTTAGCTACCCTCACTGTACTGACGGGTTTTTGGCGACGGAATTTTATTTTTTCCGTCGCTAAAGGTTTTAGCGACGGATTTTCGACTTTTAGCGACGGATTTGTCCGTCGCTAAAAGTCATGTTTCTAGTAGTGTAATCCCAAATACCTAATGAGATCCATTATGATGTTGGGAAATTTTAGTCCCTCTCCCCGTGTGCTACGACCTCTGCTACTAGAAAGCCAACCTACAATCAATAAGATAGAAAACAACCACAATCAAGAAGAAAGAACACCGAGATTTACGTGATTTGGTCGACCGACTTTAACCTATATCCACGGGGCAACAATACGAGAAATTCACTATGTATCAGGGAGAACTACAAGAGGAACCACTCAACTATAATCTCACAATCTCTCAACCTCACATACATAATCAACTCTCATATTCTCTCCAAAACTCACTCATTACAATCTTTTGAACGAACAAAGACTGCGAAACCCTCTCCCAATATTATAATATTTTGCACGCACGGACAAAGACTATGAAACTCTCGTCTCTCGCATTACAATATTCTTGAATCAGGCTACGCCCTCTGCTAACCCTAGATTATAAGAATATTAGCTCTCCCCCTTCTCCTTTGTTTTTCTTCCAACAATAGAAGAATATATATAGGGAAACCAAAACTCTATCTCTAACCTAACTTCCTAATTAGAATATGATTCAAACTCTTAATCATGATGAGACCCAATCTCCTAATCATGATAGATCTCTAACCATATCTAGTTCTCATGAAGTTATACAAAGCATTCAAAAAAGTATCTTCATTTTACCCCTTATTATAACTCCTCTACACATCGCCCTTTTGCTGGAGTTTGTGCAGGTAG